GGGATTGCTACGGCGTCTACCCATCGTGTCGCGTGTTCCGTCATCACCAAGAGGTACTGATTACCATTGGATGTCTGAGGAAATGGACCCATGACATCTACGGACCACAAGTCACCTATCGCGGTAACTGGAATCGACTGAAGTGGTGGTCGTATACCGGTCACCTTTCATCAGCTGGCACCGTGGACATCCAAGTACGTATCTTGCTACGTCTTCTCTCATACCTGGCCAGTACATACTTTGTCTTAGGAGGTCGGTCGTTCTGGCCACGCCTGTATGCGCTAGCTGGTGACATTCTTCTATCATGTCGTGGCGCGACGATTGAGGTATGACAGCCAGCCAGCTTCCGTCGTTCTCTCGCCAGGTCAGAGTCCCGTAGGCATTCACTCTGAGTCGATCCCTCTGTCTGAGTAGTGTGGTTAGCTCCTTACTCGCCGTAGTTTGATCCACTTCTATTCCGTTGGTGATCACCTGTATTACTGTATTCAGCGTATCGTCCAACCTCTGCCTACGTGCAAGTCTTAGTGGGTCTTGTTCTACTGCATGCACTCCGTAAGCGACCTCGGGCAACTCAGACTCATCTTCTGGTCTCGATAACAAATCTGCCAAGACATTTTCACTTCCAGGAACGTGTGAGATCGTAAAATCGTACTCCTGAAGACGCAACATCCACCGTGACAACTTCCCCCGTGGGTCTCTCGCTGTCTTCAAAAATTGTAGCGGCTTATGATCAGTTTCGATGTGGAACCGCCGGCCGAGTAAATAAGGTCTCCATTTGTCGACTGCCCATACCATTGCTAAACATTCTTTCTCTATCGTTGAATACTTTCTCTCTGTGAGTGTCAAAACCCTACTGGCATACTCAACGATTCCCTCGTCCTGTCTTAGGACCGCACCTATAGCGTAGTCACTGGCATCTGTGCACACTGTGAACTGTCTTCCTGGCACAGGTAGTTTTAGCGTCATTTGTTGGTGGTCGAGCAGCTGTTTAATTCTGTCGAATGTCCTCTGCGATTCTTCCGACCAAACAAACTTTGGCTCACCTAGTAGCCTGTATAGAGGGGCTGCTATCTCATTGAAGTTCTTCACGAAGCGACTATAAAACGCTGCTCTACCCAAGAATTGTCTCAGTTTTCTCTTTGAATTCGGGGCTGGAATCGTTTTAATCGTCAAAATTTTCTCCGGCAGTGGTTTAATCTCACCATTTCCCACTTTATGTCCCAACAGAGTAACATTCTTTTTGGCTATCTGAGACTTGGTTTTGTTGACGCGTAGTCCAAACTCTTCGATGCGTCGCAGCACGGCTTCTACATGGTTGACGTGATCGTTTTCGTTTTGACTGTATATGACGAGATCATCACCATACACCTCCACGTTTTTCAAGTTCTTAAGTAACAGCGTCATCAGTCTTATTATTTTTTTTAATTTCTATTTTTTTATTTTTGATTACAGCTTGATTCCACACTGTATTTTTGGTACAAGTATGGAATTTTCAGCATGTGATATCGGTAGCCCAAATTTTGCAGACCGACCATAGATATCAGGTGTGCGTCGGTGTGGGCTCAAACCCTGGACCATGTGCATGGTCGGCGAGAGTCCTAACCACTGTGCCACCGATGCGTCATCAGTCTTCTGAACGTAAACGGTGCACCTGCTAGTCCAAACGGCATGCGTTTAAATCGATATTGTGTCTGGCCCACGATGAATACCGTCTTATCTCTATCACCTGGTTTTATCGGTATCTGCCAGTATCCTGAGCGGAGATCGAGAACCGAAAACACATTCGCACCTTGTAGGCGATCTAAAGTTTCTACCACTGTTAGCATGGCACATGGTCTTAACTCTGTCATGCTGTTTAACTGTCGAAAATCAACAGAGAATCTATACTTCCCGTTCGCTTTCTTTACTAACAGCACTGGAGAGTTGTACGGGCTATCAGCTTCCTCAATAATATCATCTTTTAACATCTCTTGCACTTGTCGCTCCACTTCGCCTTCCAGATGACATGGAACTCTTCGCGTTGAAAATGACCTTACTTTCGGATCACTTAACGGAATTTCATGATTCACCTTATCGCAATAACCGTATGGGTCGCCATCTCCAGTGAACAGATGATCGTATTTATTAATTAACTCTGTCATATTGTGTACCGTCGACAGCTTAATCGCTGCTATCTCGCTGGTCTCATACATGTTGATGTGCCCGTATTTCGTGATCACCACGTTCGCTTGCGTGTCGATTATTGCACCAATCTCACGCAGAAAATCCGCTCCTAATATCGTTCGCTGTAGTTCGGGTACAACAATGAAAGGAAACGTCACCTCGCAGCCGCCAACAACGACCGTACAGTTCGATCTACCCGTTTTACGCAACACATGCCTGCATACTGTTTGTAATGTCAATGAACACGGACTAACACTCTTACATAAATTCTTATCTATAAACGACACGGCCGCTCCTGTATCTACTAAGCATACTACTTCTCAATCATTTACTCGCAATTTCGAATACACAGCCCCTTTCTCAATAGCCCCACTAAATCTAGGTTCATACGAGAGAAAGAACAAGTATTATACCGTCTGAAATTTTTTCTTTTCCGCCTTTCTGGGCAGTATCTTCTCCAGTGTCCCGGCTTACCGCATTCAAAACATTGGTCTTTTCTATCAGCCAAATTTAACGCCACCACTTCCCGCTGCAATGCTTCAATTTTCTGCTTATATTCGTTTGGTTTTGGCTGCTCTATAGCGGCTACAGTTGTGCTCATCAGCTGTCTGGTCACCTTGGCTAGCTCACTAATATCCATCGGTTGCGTTGCGTTAACTGGTTTTGATTGCTGAGAAATGTGGTCTGGGACACTCTCGATGAATTGGGGAGATAGTAACTGCTCTTCTGATTCTTTATCCAACGTGGGAAGCGCCCGTCGAAGCAAATTCGTCAATGTCACCGCCAATACTAACGGGTCTCCGTCAGGTCCCAGCTTCGTTGACCGGAACTGCTGCATCGCTAGCTGTCTGTCTGTTGCGCTGTCAAACTCCGACACCAAACTTTCAACCAATTTCTTCCAAGACACTGTGTCATTTGACCTGTCTACGCTGTCATATGTCGCCTTCGCTCGGCCTCTCAACAGCGTCCCCAGGACAACTGCCTTCGCCGCCTGCTCCTTGACACCCACCAGCTCAGCGACGGCCTCGAAGTCACGTAAGAAGCTCCGTATGTCTCCTTCTTCAAACGCAGTTGGTCACGGGATCTTCACTTTTCTGGAGGCAGCGACACCAAATGTAACAACAGAAGACAAGGGCCAGGCAACAGATCGTTTATTACGAAAATCAACGCGTATTTATCTATATTTGGCGTACATTTATAAGGCTTATGCAAGCAGAAAAAGGCAGTATTCTAATTGGTTGTTTCTCGGAAGTTAAGCAGACAAACACAGTCTTCTGATTGGTTGTTTTCGATATTTCTCGGAAAGTAGAGCCATTTATCTGCGAATCGTATTTGCCCACGTTTAAGTCTGCTGTGATTGGTTGTTGAATCAGCCTAGATTAATGTCTACCAATCAGCGTCGATTAATGTCTACCAATTGGCTAGCAGCCTGCTCTCACCACACTAGTACTCAGTGATAAGGATATCCTTACCCTTACCAGAACAGTACATACTATGCTGACAAGTCTAAACACAATTGTGTAAATCCTTGCGATTAATATCTGCCTCTATTCTTGGTTGCTACTTGAAATCGTCCTCTCAAGCAACGAATATCATGTTTTGAGGTATGATTTTTGAGCTACTAATCACCCGTAGATTTGCCTTCAGCTTATTCGATTGAATTTTGTGTACTTTCTTGTAGAGTCGCCGAAGGCGATCCTTCCCTAAGGGGGAGAAGAGATGGAACTCAAGGATAACAATATCATGACTAAGGACATGAGATTTCAATACTGAATCACCTCTTTTTACGTTTGCTGACATTAATTCAATGCATATGTGCTAATTATGATGTGATTGTTATCCTGACCAAAGTACAAATCTACTGATCCACCTTTCAGTGAACCAATCTTAAGTCCTATAGGGGCTCTTTTTCAGATTTTTTCATCTTAAGTGGTTTATTCATGATTCTGGTGACTTATCGACGTAAAGTTCTTGGATTTGTTGCGTTGAGCGGTGAACAGAAAGTGTTTATGACATCTGTGAATAGGCATATTTGGCGGGATTTTGTGGTGTGTAAATGCGACATGGCGCCAATGTCGTATATATATATATATACTTTTGTATGTGGAAGAGCATGGTCGAGAAATCCCTATGAATATGAGTCTTGTTTGACAAGACAATATATTTTTTCGTTGGGCTGCCGAAGGCAATTCACTACATAATGGGTTGGAAATTTTCATCAAACGCGTTATACGTGTCTGTCCCCTAAATGAGTCTTAGTCCTTGATTAGGCATACATTTGAACACGAAAGTGGTATCTGAATCTTCTCAGAGTACATTGAATGATTTAACACAATGTTTGGAAATAATCTACCTACGCAGTTGTTCTTCTACCTCTTGAAAACTTGAGTGATTCTCGTTTTTCCCTGTGCTGATACAAGGTTTGGCGACAGGATGTGAGGTATTTGATATAGTGGTTGCGTTATTTTAACTTGTATTTTCTGAAACAACATACTCACGAGAAATTGGTGGTAAAACATTTGCAACAAAATATGCTTTAAAATGACTACACAAGTTGTTTTTTAGTTAAGTATTTTATTCAATAAAAAGTTATACGACAATATTTCGATTTGAATTTATGTGCAGACGAATTTTGAAGGAACAAACACAACAGATATGGTGTATCCACAACATTCAATCAAAGTGTAAAAGAGGAAAGAAAAAAAACTATTGTATAACACTTCTCACTTAGCTTTAAGTTTTTGTTTGATAGAAAAATTTAATATACTATTAATAGATATTCACAATCAATATGAAGATTTAAATTTTTTGGGGTATAAGAATCACAATGATTGTATTTAGCTGCCTTGATCTACTGATTTCCAAACATAATTGCCAGAATATTGGAAACCTGCTCGTTTACACAAATCATCTGCTTCTTTGGGACCATTTCGACTGTAATGAGAGAATGAGAAAATAAAATGGGATATAACAGCGCAGTTTTATGTATTTTTTTTCAATGATGTTTCTGTTGAACATATAATAAAAAGATTTCTGTCGAAGATTTCTTTTTTTGCTACAAGAAATACAGTAGGGAGACCCTATCATTATGATGAATAGGAAGTCCACGTAAATAGTTTACTATGATGAACTATATAAGCTCGATTATCAGTGACATGGGACTCCAAGTGAACATAGACAAGACGAAGGTGATGAAAATAACCAACCACCACCAACAACAGCAGGAACATCCAGCGTCAATCACCATCAACGGGAGGGATTTGAAAGAGGTTACTGCATTCACTTATCTAGGTAGCATTGTCTCAACTACACGAGGAACGGACGAGGATGTCAAATCGAGAATCGGGAGGCGAGAAACACATTCATCAACCTGAAATCAATCTGCAAATCTTCGTCACTCAGCATCAACAACAATATTCGGATTTTCAATACAAACGTCAAGTCAATTCTTCTATACGGAACGGATCAGAAACTTGGCGGGCGGGTCACAAAGAATATTTCCAACAGCCTGTTGCAGACACTACCTTTATCAACCAACAACTGTCTTCGCTGGATCTATACTGAAGATCAGATGGCCGGGTCGGAAAGAATCACCAACAAGAAACTATGGCTGGGAACAAACAAAACAAGAACCAATCAATCGCCAACCAACAAATATGCAGGAGAAAGTGGAGATGGATTGGGCACTCGCTGAGTGACATCGCGCGCGCTCGAGTGGAACCAGGCCGAAAGGGAAGCGGCGAGTGGAACGTCTGTGCAAGAGTGACATGGAGGAGATCGTGTGATGTAAAGAGGAGTTGAAACAGTATGGACTAACTAACATGGATTGAGGTGAAAAGTACAGCAGAAGGAAGACAGAAGCAAGTGGAGACGTGCAGTTGAAGCCGTATGTTCGACTAGGAACCCAAGGGAGCAACAATATAATAATAATATCAGTGATACGGACATGACTTATAATATGGGAACAGTCTTCTTAAAAAATTAGCTCTCTACACAACTGATTAAATCTATTGGCCAAGAAAGCTACTAGACGATTATAACGAAAGAAGAAACTCTCTAGAAATTGAATGATACTCATTCGTTTTGGAGAACATTTACAAAACTAATAAAAGCCAAGAGATATTGGAGAATTATTCTATCCTAGTCTGAAGTTCATCAACGCAGTGCGACTGGAGAGGTCTACAAAGTTCAGTGTACAGACAGATTATCAATAGATGACATTGAATGAAGTTATTTTTTTTAGGGGGGGGGGTTGATTAAATGACTGCTGCTTATGTCAACTCAAAAGTTGTACATGCTTAGCTGGGACTCAATATAACATATCTGATATTTAACGTGAACAGGTGAACATAGAGGAGACAGGAGTGGGGAAGATAACCAACGAACGAACAGCAGCAGCAGCAACAACAACAACCGGCACAAATCACCATCAATGTGAGAGATTTGACAGAGGTTACTTCCTTCACTTATCTATGAAGCATCGTTTCGAATACAGGCGGAACGGACGAGGATGCTAAAGCAAGCCAGAATCGGAAAGGCAAGATACGCCCTCATCAAACTGAAATCAGTTTGGAAATCTTTTGCATTCATTTAGCATAAGGAACAAGATTTGAATTTTCAAAACAAATGTGAAGTCAGCCAGTGTTTCTATGCAGATCATAAACTTGCACTGCGTGTGTCATGAAAAGGATTTTCAGCAGGTTGCAGACTTTTATCAACAGCTGCCTTCGCCCCATACTGACTAAAAAAATGGCTGACTGGCTGGCCAGAAAGAATTAGCTACAATAAACTCTTGTTGGGAATAAACTAACCAAGGACCTATCGTTCAAAAAATATGTAAAACAAAAAAATGGAGATGGACCAGGCATACATTGAGAAGCCCGCGTATGAAATCGCTCGCCAGGCCTTCGAGTGGAATTACAGTGGGAAGTGATGAGTAGATCATCATCCTAGGGTGACATGAGGGAAGTAGTTTGAGGAGGAGATGAGAGATTGTGGGCGATCGTGGCTCAAGCTGAAGAGGGCGGTAGAAGATAGGACAAAGTGAAGATGTGTTGTTGAAGCCCTATGTTCCATTCGAAACTCAAAGGAATAATTATAACAGTTTTCAAGTACTTGTTTTTGTAGGGATTTAGTTTGATTGGTTGGAGGATGACGTTAGTTTTTTTGGAGTGGATTGAAAGACTGCTAATATTAACTCAAAAGTTGCAGATGTTTAGCTGGACTTAATACATAACATATCTGATTTTAAACGTGAAAGACTCATAATTCACTATCGACACTTATTGAAGGTGAGGCAGTAACTCACCGAAGAAGACATTATGAAGTGGTTGCACTATATCATGAATTGGCAGAAGTTAGAATTCATGGGCCGTTGGATCGGGTCCCAGTGGCTTAATGCTCTACGAGCTCGCCTTGTAACCAGAATGTCCTGGGTTCAAACCTCTGTGGTGGGCGCGTACCGATGAAGAGTCCCAGACTAGGATGAAACGGCTGTCTAGTACTCCTCGCAGGTTTTCTAATGGTTCTCTAACTGATGTCACCTCATGATGAAATCCTCCAACCAAATAATAACAATAATAATGAAAGTGATCACACTGAAAGTGACGACGTGGACCCCACTACTCAGTAGCTAGCACATAGTCCATATATTCATACTGTTATAGTAAAACTTCTGCAGTATCTATAAATGTTTTGTTCGGCATAACTTTAACCAACTTATGTCACCTCAATACAGTCTTGAGACGATAAACGATGAATAATGTTAACAAGAACTTTGCTATTTGTGAGTTAGATACAGTTAGACAAGTAAGATATATATATATATATATGTAAAATTACCTTCCGTAAATATATGGATATGGTTTGATCTTATTTTCTTCTAAATGATTCAATATCGGTGTTAATATACGCCAAGCTTCACGTAGTTCATCACTGCGTACAAAGTTTGTTTGAACTCCACAGAATACATCTAAAATTAATCTTTCATAGGCGTCTGGCAATTTGATGTGCTAAAAGTAAGAAAACAAAAAAGAAATAAAAAAGAAAACAAAAAAAACAACAGAATATTTGATTCATACTTTATATCTGTTAGCATATGTAAGATCTAATTCAGTGATTTCTGTTTGAATTTTCATTCCGGGAGATTTCACATTCAATTTAATATAAACTGCTTCATCAGGTTGTACGCGTAGGACTAATTCATTACGCGGTACGCCCTCTGTTCCAAATACGTGAAAATGAGGTTCTTTGAATTGAACTCTGACTTCAGCCTTCCGTTCATTCAAAGCTGGTGCAAACAAAACAAAACAGATAAAAATAAAAGTACACACATTAGTGCTTCATACCTCGGAGTTGTGCGATAATATTCACTAGTTAATAAAAATACATCATTATTTTTATTTTATTTTTGATTACAGCTTGATTCCACACTGTATTTTTGGTACAAGTATGGAATTTTCAGCATGTGATATCGGTAGCCCAAATTTTGCAGGCCGACCATAGATATCAGGTGTACGTCAGTGGGGGCTCGAACTCCGCACCATGTGCATGATAGGCGAGAGTCCTAACCGCTGTACCACCGACGCACATTATAATAACTGACAATAATGCGCATACGAACAAATTAATTAGAAAAAAAAAACAAAAAGCTGGTGATATTTCATTAAAAAAATATTATGAAACGTGGAACAATCATGGCAGCAGCCATTTTGGCGATACCGGTACGGGCACAAATGTTATCACCAAGATAAGTGTGTAGCCAGGACTGTACATTAAAATTTTTTTATTCATAAATACTCGAGTTGTCACAGGTATTCATAAAAAATAGGTCATTATTTGCAAGTAATTTTATGAACCCTCCAACATAGGGCTTCAAGCTAGAGGCTTGAAGTTTCTGTAGCAGTGATCATTTCCACAGGATGGGGTTGCTAGCCTCATACCCAACCTTTCCTCTTTACCAGCTTTATTACTGGCTTAGTGAGGTAAAGGAGTGCGTCGGTGGCCGGGGGTCGAACCCCGGACCATGCGCTTGGTCGGCGACGCACTTATCAAATTTAAATGACCAATATATTCATGGTAAAGCCTACAATATCTGGTCATTTAGGAAAAATATCTTAATCGATTAAAAATTTGCGACGAGTTTAATATATCCCAGGACCTTTTCGCTGTTTGTCCTTATACAATCAGTGAATGTAGTATAACTTTCCATATGTGCATAAATTGTATGAAAGGGAATAATAACGGTTGATGATTGTAATAAATGATGGCAGACAACTCACACTATCCAGGAGAATTAGTTAGATAGATCGAGATGGTCTCAATAACAATTTTGACGTCTGCTCTTGGTTCAGTCTATCAGGAAGGCACTTATACTAGATAGCATGCAAATAAACGATTCAATGCGTCATCGTTTTGTAAAAAAGAGATTAGCTGAAAGTTTAATCCCTTGTAAAATTTAGCCAGATGAGTAAAATCAATGTCTTTTGACACCATCAAATCAAAAGCATTTCGTCTCCATTTGAATCATTCACGAATACTCAAATCAGTCATTATTGTGTGTTATACTGTGGTGAGAGCTGTCTGCTAGCCAAAATTGGTAGACAGTAATTTACGTCACTGTTTACATCCTAAATCTTGGTGATGAGAAAAAAACATGAACAAAGTCTAACTCAACAACCAATCACAGCACACGTAGCGTAGGTGGATACGATTAGCAGACATATATCACCGGACTGTCTAAGAACGGCAACAAAGAGATGACAGAATAACCTTCAGCAGGAAAACAACTAATCAGAAGACGTTACCTCTCTTTGCTAACAAAAACGAATAATAATAATGTACAAGCCATCGCCTCCCTCGACGAGCAATGTTAGCGGATATAGGGTCAGGTTGGAAAAAAGCTAGCGGAGGTCAAACAAAAACTTGGCACCAGTCAATGAAATCCACAACAGTTGGTCTAAGCCACGTAGGAAGGTGTAGACTTCCAGGCTGGGGTCCTCTGGACGGTAAAAATCTATGGTTGGAAACAATTGGTGACATGGCTCAAAATCGTTCTCAGTGGCGCAGATGCATCCACTCCCTGTGACTTATGATCTCCAATGAAACTGTTTTGTTCTTATTTATTACTCCTTTGTCTCACACCTCTGCTTACTGTTTCTATTATGCTTTTCTTGTACTTTCTTCTCTTGCTTCGCGTGCTACACGGAGTGTGGCAACTTGAACTGCCGCACATTTGTGCAAAGTTCTATGTCGAAAACAGACAGACAGACAGAGACATGAAAACCTATAAACATCTGTTGTTTTTCTCAATAAAGGATCTGTTGCCTGGTCCTTGTCTTCTGTCGTTACAATACAACTTCCATGTCAAAATCCTTATTTTCGACAAGCTTATTAAGCGCAGCTCATATTTTATTCTCAATATTTTGGATTATAGCAGAAGGTTTCTCTTATCCTCTACTTTATAACTCCTAAATGCCACACTTAACCACAAGTGATTTTGCCTCAGAAAAAATGATTCCAAGCTTGACCACTAACTGGTTTCAGTTAGAGGACCACTGAAAACCACAGAGTACTTGGACAGCTGTTTCGTCCTAGATCTGATCTCATTATCAATGCGTACCGATGACCCCACGGGGGATCAAAATCAGGAACTTCAGGTTATAGGGAGACCTCGTTGGTCATTCAGTCAGTGAGACAGAATCCGGTGGCCCGTCAATTCATGATAGGTATTGGGAGTGTCTGTTACATGAAGGCTGTGCGTTCGGTCCCTGGTAGGGTCATGGGTGCATGTTGCTGAAGAGTCCCGAGGTAGAACGGTAGAACTGTCCAGTACTCTCTGGTTTTTAATAGTTATCCAAATGAAGTCAGTCAGTGATCAAACTTGAAATCACTCAAATCCTTACGAACCAACACTTAAAAAGAATGATTTCACCACTTATGATTTCTTCACCTACAAGAAGCAGTTGGTCAGCAACAAAAAAACTCATAACAAAAGTTATTTAAAATAAATAAGCCAGATCTCCTAACTCAGTGAGACAAATCACATCAATTGACATCAAATCAATTCAATAACCACAAAAACAGGAATATGAAAAAAAACATTTAAAGCATGCAAGTCAACAGTACTAGAGACAATCCCTTTTAAATAGAAGAGTACTAAAAAGCAACTTTAAAAAAGAAGGAAAAACGAAATTAACACACACACACTAACCTTTTCCAGCTCGTAGAATAAACGGAACACCTTTCCAACGATCATTTTGCACATATAATACAGCACAAACATAGGTAGGAGTTATGGAGTCTGAAATTTTAGGAAAGGAAAATTTAGAGAAAAGTTGCCTTCAACGTAATTACTCATTGGACAGAGTAATTAAAATCAGACTATTCAAGTGTTAATTTATAGGGATTCGATTGGTTACAGGAATTCATCATGAGCTGACATCAGTTAGAAAACCTGGAGAGAATACTAGACAGCCGTTTCATCCTAGTCTGGGACTCTTCATCAATACGCGCCCACCACAGAGGTTTGAACCCAGGACATCCTGGTTACAAGGCGAACTCGTAGGGCATTAAGCCAGTGACCCATTCCTATGGCCCATGAATTCTAACTTCTGCCAATTCATGACATAGCGCGACCTTTAGTCAGTGTCTTCGGCGAGTATTTGTCCTCACACCCGACCTTCTGCACCCTACTGGTCAAGACTTCCCACTAGAACCCAGAACGTCCTGGGTTCGAATCTCGGTGGGTGCGTACTGATGAAGAGTCCCAAACTAAGACGAAACAGCTGTCCAGTACTCCCAGGTTTTACAATGGTTTTCTAACTAATGTCAGGTCATGATGAAATCTTGCAACCAATAAAATCAGAACAACTCACTAAATGATGCAAGCTGATTAACATAAGTCAACATTCCATTCAGATGAGCTGAAATACATAATGTCTATATTACTTTATTACTTTAAATATCAGCCTACGCTACTATCTACTTTACGTCTACACATATATCTACAGTCCTGCACATTAGACTGTTTGGCAAGCATGACACAACAACATAAGATACCCAGTACTATTTACATCAAAAGAAATAGGAATACAATCCACTAAAGGTGACTACATATTCTGCGTCATGTAAAATTATCAACGCTAACATTTGTGCACCGTGTGACACAGTGGTGAAACGACGAACTTCTTTGACCCCTACAGCTCTTGTTTTGTCGAAATATAATCAGAAGTAAATAAACTAATGTTTCAATATAGCGAAAATATTCATTCAGACATCTATAAAACACAAAATAATTGAAAAAAGAATATCCTTTTCGATAAATTCCTCTTCCGGCTCTACAATTATATATATGTTTATATACATAGAATATTCTAGATTAGTAGTCAATAACAATATTAGTGTTTTTTAAATAATATCGATTTGTAAAGTATGATCAGTGAAATTACAGTTCATTAAAGATGCTTAAATTATAATAATAACAAAAATATAGTAGCAAATAGAATATGAATTAAAATTAGGAAAATTCCACAGAAATTGAGGATCATTCAAACCTAGATGGCCAAGGTAAGGATAATGTCTGAACTAACTTCTTTTGGACGCACAAATTAGACTTTTAATATGGATCCCAACAGCCTCAGCAGTATTTAGTGGTCGAACTCTTAAGGCAAAATTGAGATTCATAGGTATTCAGTAAATGACCCTGAAAGCATGGTTAACCTCAATCTTGTGTTCTGTATCCACAAGATGAGACAGAATAGCGCTGCGAATAGATTTTGTATGTCCTTTGCTTAACTACACAGGGTGATGTTCGGAAATTTGCCGCCTAATTGTACGGCTTATGTAACTGGCTCCATAGGATCAGTTAAATTGGTAGATACATATGGGAGAGGCGAAATTAGACAGTTTGTCTTTTACTCACGAACGCAAAAGAGGGGTGGTTTTCAAGACACAGAGTAATTCGGCAGCAAGGAATGCTGTTTTTACCGCATTTCTAAGGCGCTGTGTTAATATTTCGCTGATGTTGTCCCCAAGGAACTGCATTTGTAAGAATAAGGCTTTTTTACGAAATGTTGGTACCTTGGGCTGCTTTCATTTTAGATTCATATTCTTATCAACGAACTAACCTAACCATTTTCACTCAGCAACCGTTTAATATTATTAAGTTCCTCATCGAGACATTCATCCGAGCAGATTGCTCTTGCTCTGTGAACCAAGCACTTTATTAGATTGCGTTTGTATTTCAATGTATTTCATGTTTATAAATTTTCATGTAAAAAGAGATAATTTAGAACAATAGGTAGTTAATAAAGTGTACCTGGAAATGACATATCATAATCATCAATTGCTCATTCTATAAACAAATCGTTCGTTGAATGGACACTAAACAGTCGCTAACTCATGTGTTCAGTCCCTCATTTGATGCAGATTGAATTCTATCGGTCAAGTTTGTAGTGTAGCCACTATTCTAGGTGACGCGTCAACACAGTGCACTACTCTGAATTGTAGTTAGATCGATGGAGGCAATCAACAAGAAGCCCTTCCCGAACTAGGTTTCGTGATTGTTGGCACTTGTTCGTAAGACGTATCTGTAATCTTGAAGGAATTCATGTCCCATCAGAAATTCGAACCTGTGTCATCCAGTTCTGCAGTCAAAACTACTGTTACTGAGTTATTTGAGCTTGTAACTAACCTCCTGTATGAGGTAATTGCACTGCAAACTTGACTGATAAAATTCGGTCTGCACGAAACAAACAACTAGACGCATGACATTAGTTACTACCCAGTGTTCAATCAAAGTATCCAATACAGACGTGCAGGAAGTCAATCACGGGTCTGAAAAGCGCAGTGGTAACATCTCTGACTGCACCACTGGATAACACAGGTCCGGATCTTGGAAGGCGTATACGTGTCTTTAAAATCACACATACGTCTTGCTGACCAAAACCTAGGTCAGACGGCCGACTGACCTACCGACTGCCTGCAGCTATTTAACGAGAAGTCTTTGGTGCATACACTGAGACCTCTATTTGGAAAGAAACTGTTTATATTTTATAAATAAAGTACTACTTCCAATAGTTTTGGCAAATAATGCTAAATATCCAAACAACAGGACGTCGCAAATGTCCTAGAACAACTTGAGCTCCGAGTACGATTGATTCATTAGAAAATTATTCAAAATGATCTCAGTGTATTTCAAAATATGTAAACACGTAGAGACTATTGTCAATGATAATGTCTTATATTGGAGAACCGTCATAAACAGAGTACATGAACACTGTACCACGTACATGTCGGCATATATGAAGATGTTATGTCCTAAATAACATGTCAACAATACGAAAGAAGCATACTTCCACAGAAAATCAATAACAATAAAGAATTAACTTTCAAGTACTCTAAAACTTCACATGTTTAACCGGAAGGTAGTAAATGAAATAACACACACACGCACAAAGTGTAGCACTAAATGCATGACCAATTCACTTTCACAATTATTTTAGTTAAAATAGTATAATTTTCGTCTTTATATCAATTATTATGTGGTACGTAGGAGTACCTGCTGATCTCTAATGATCTAGTGTATTAGTTTTTTTTTGAAATAGCACGTTGTGTTGAATTTCAATGGACAGTTATTTTTATATTACAAAAATTATACATTGTAAAAAGTTCAAAATGTTTTTCACTGTTTCATAATTACTACTGAATTAAGTTGCCTTCACAAAAATATAACAACAAAACGAGTCCATTATTATTGCAAATTGCTTCAAGAAAGCAGTATCGTAAACGAAGATACAGTTACCTTAAAATAGTAGTATTTCACATTCAAACATAGTAACATACAAAAAAATAATCCTCTGATTACCATCTAATAATGATAGCTGGACAGTGAAAAGACGAGACTTATATATAAATCCATTAAAACTGACTGTGCTGTAACACAAAACTTTGCACAGAAGTGTGTCGAGTGTGCCATGCTCCATACAGCCCACAAAAGTGGATAAAAGAAAGGAAGAAAAGATTCAAAGGAACTATAGAGAGAACCTCGCCAGATACTAGCTTGCTAGGCTACTAGCTTACTAGTTCTCTCGCCGGTCCCAAGCCCGGGTAAAGAGGGAGGGTTGGGGCGTGGTGCTAGCAACTCCACCCCCAAAACAACCAAATCGCTACAGAAACTTCAACGCACAAATATATTAAAAATACTAAAAATATAAACAATAACCTTATGTTTCGCTGGAATCGGGGAAGTGAAATGACGCAGGCTGGTGAAAGCCTTCGGGAAGCCAGTCAGCCGATGTGCCTTCTTTCGATGAAAGCAAAAGTAAGGATGGGTACCTGGAATGTTCGTACAATGTACGAAACTGGAAAGGCTGCCCAGATAGCCGCTGAAATGAGAAGGTACAGAATAGAAGTGTTGGGAATCTGCGAGAGCAGATGGAACGGAACTGGAAGGTGCCAACTACCTACTGGAGAGACAGTAATCTATTCCGGCCACCTAGAGGACAACCATGAGCACACCGAGGGAGTGGCCATCATGATGTCACCAACAGCAACCAAAGCTCTCATGCAGTGGGAACCAATCTCCTCCAGGATAATGACAGCCAGGTTCAACTCAAAAGGAAGGAAAGTTACAGTCATTCAATGCTGTGCGCCTACAAACGTCTCAGAACAAGAGAAGAAGGAGGCGTTCTACAGACAACTACAAGCAGTAATGGACAACGTCCCAAATGGCGATATCAAAATCCTGATGGGCGACATGAATGCGAAGCTGGGACGAGACAACACAGGAAGAGAACTCACCATGGGTCGTGAGGCCCTCGGTGAAATGAACGACAATGGTGAACTCTTCTCAGACTTCTGCGCCTTCAATGATTTGGTGATTGGTGGTAGTGTGTTCAAACACAAGGATATACACAAGACGACATGGATTTCACCAGATGGAAACACCAAGAACCAAATAGACTTCATCTCAATTTCAAGAAAGTGGAGACGGAGCCTACTGGACACAAGGTCAAGGAGAGGAGCAGATGTGGGTTCAGACCACTATCTAGTACAAGGGACTTTCAAGGTGAAACTAAAAGCCTCGAGGATAGCTGGGGATAGGCCACAATGCAAGTTCAACACTCAAAAACTGAAGGACACAACCACAAAAGACACCTTCACTGCAACTGTCAGAGCAAAGCAGGAAACACTACGCGACATCACTGAAGAATCATGCGTGGAAGAACATTGGAAGTCTCTGAAGGCGATTCTCAACGAAACGTGTTCAACGGTTCTAGGAAGAAAGAAGAGACAAGACAAGGAATGGCTCTCAACGGACACTTGGAAATTAATAGAAGAGAGGAGAATGGTGAAAGAGAAAATGATTCAATGCAAGGACGGACAGGAGAAGGAGACGCTGAGCTCAACTTACACAGCACTGGACAAAGAAGTGAAGAAGAGTGCTAGGAAGGACAAAAGATAATTCTACGACAACCTCAGCTGAGAAGGCAGCAGGCAAAAGGGACCTGAGGACACTATATCAGATAACCAAATCTCTATCCGGGAAGAGATCAACACAAGCGAAACCTATAAAAGACAGCCAAGGGAACCCAATTACCAAGGAAGAAAAACAGATTAAACAATGGGCGGATCACTTCAAAGGACTCTTGAACCGACCACCACCTGCAACCCGTCCAGAAATACCAACAACAGCGCGCACACAACTGCAAGTTGACACCAATCCTCCAACGAGAGCTGAAGTCTTGAACGCAATCAAGCTTCTGAAAGCTGGAAAAGCAGCCGGACCAGATGGAATACCCCCTGAAGCACTGAAAGCGGACCCAGAGACTACAGCAGACATGCTGACTCCATTATTGCAAAAGGTCTGGAAGGAGGGAAAGGTGCCTACTGACTGGAGGAAAGGTTACCTCGTGAAACTACCAAAGAAGGGCGACTTAGGACTCTGCAAGAACTGGCGAGGAATCATGCTCCTATCGACGCCAAGTAAAATCCTGAGTCGCATCATCCTGGAGAGATTAAAGGACGCACTGGAGACAGAACTCCGACCAGAACAAGCTGGATTCAGGAAAGGCAAATCATGTACTGACCAAATTGCAACTCTACGCATCATCACAGAACAAAGCATGGAATGGCAATCAAACCTCTACCTCAACTTTATAGACTTTGAGAAGGCCTTCGACAGCGTTGATCGTGAAGTAATTTGGAAATTACTCGAGTACTACGGCGTACCCCAAATATTCATCAACCTTATTCAACAGCTGTACGACAACGGCACATGCCAAGTGATCCACAACGGAAAACTCAGCGAGGCGTTTGGAGTAAACACAGGAGTCAGACAAGGGTGCTTATTATCACCAATGATATTCCTAATTGTGGTGGACTGACTGGATTATGCGTCAGACAGTGGGAAACGAGAAGACAGGAATATCCTGGACCGACGTGAAGAACCTAGAAGACCTGGATTTCGCGCGTGGATGATTTATGTTTGATGTCACACAAAATCGAAGACTTACAAGCGAAAACTGACAAACTGGTCGAAGAAGCAGCAAAGACAGGACTCCAGGTAAACATAGACAAGACGGAGGTTATGAAAATAACCAACCAACAACAGCAACAGCAACATCCAGCGTCAATCACCATTAACGGGAGGGATTTGAAAGAGGTTACTTCATTCACTTCTCTAGGTAGCATTGTCTCAACTACAGGAGAAGCGGACGAGGATGTCCTATCGAGAATCGGGAAGGCGAGAAACACATTCATCAACCTGAAATCAATCTGCAAATCTTCGTCACTCAGCATCAACAACAATATTCGGATTTTCAATACAAACGTCAAGTCAATTCTTCTATACGGAACGGATCAGAAACTTGGCGGGCTGGTCACAAAGAATATTTCCAACAGCCTGTTGCAGACACTACCTTTATCAACCAACAACTGTCTTCGCTGGATCTATACTGAAGATCAGATGGCCGGGTCGGAAAGAATCACCAACAAGAAACTATGGCTGGGAACAAACAAAACAAGAACCAATCAATCGCCAACCAACAAATATGCAGGAGAAAGTGGAGATGGATTGGACACTCACTCGTTGAGGAGGCCGCTGGGTGACATCGCGCGCGCGTCAGGCCATTGCTCGAGTGGAAACAGGCCGAAGGGGAGCGGCGAGTGGGACGTCAGTGCAAGGGTGACATGGAAGAGATCGTGTGATGTGAAGAGGAGTTGAAACAGTATGGACTAACATGGATGGAGGTGAAAAGTACAACAGAAGACAGCAGCAAATGGAGACGTGCAGTTGAAGCCCTATGTTCCACTAGGAACCCAAAGGAGCAATAATAATAATAACGTAGAAAAACAGAAGGGCTGAATGAAAATATGGGAGATCACAGAGAGTGAATACATCAGCGCCATTGAGATCGATTTTGATCCATATCACCATTGATTAATTCTTAGAGTGTCTAGCACCTTAGTAAAACAGTCTGCACCTACTTACGTAACTCAAACCAATAGTTCGAGACTTCATGGACTGATGCGATGATTTGATTTGACTCTTTTCCAATCTAATCCTATACGAGCCAACATTGCTCCATGTGCAAAGCAATAGCTTAGGATTCGTACCACAGGTCTTAGTCATCTGCATCGATGTAGGTTCCCAACCTTATTGTTTGACTTCAACCTAAAAGGAGAATAATGCTCAGGAAGGCTTCGTTTGTTTTTGGAAGTGTGTGGGCGGTTGTCACTTCCCTGCTGCCCACACTGTGGAAGTTGATTGATTCTCCGGGTACCTGAAACAGAAAGAGTGTTGCGTGACCGCAGAGCCCAGGCGACAACTGCTGGCCGGTCACACAAGGCCTGTATGAATTGGTTTCTGGGGTTGGTTCCGTACAAGCAAACTTACCGCCGGTTACGGACCACCGTAAGGTAAGTCAGGATATACAATTTTTGGGATCGACCTTTTCTAACCCCCTCTCCCTGGAAAGGAGAGACAGCATAGCTGGCTGGCATGCTGGTCATCTGAGGGAAACCATCTCACTGCTGTTACACCCCTGTTCCCCAGCAATACCACTTCGCCCTCAGACCCCCAGCATAGTGTAAGAAAGATTCTTACACAATACCGGTAACTGCTTTTAGTCTAATCACTATCCTAACAACCTTCCTGGCATGGTAGGACCTGTAGGAACGTTGGTTCCAGCCAGTGCAGCTTGTTGGTTCATCGCGATGTGCAAGCCTGACCACCACGTCAAGGTAGCAGCTATCGATCAGGATTCCACCCCTAACGTTATTATCACTTACCACATCTTACCATTTAACACGAGAGATAGAACACAAACATCTATGGTCAAAGACTGTTAGTCTTTTTCACATCTTCCACTTTCACTGACCATGTTCCACAGTCACAAATGAGGGTAGAGAGAATTGCCGCAAAGTACGTCGGTAGTCAGATATGACGTCTACGCCATAGACGACGTGCGTAGGCAAACACCACACGAGCCTTTTGTATTCATGTTGAGGCTTCATCAGCAATCAGTCCATTATTGGCTGATACAACTTCTCAATGAATAATAAGGGTAAGGAAAAATATGCACAAAGCAAATTATGAAGCATTGCGGCTAAATTGATATGATTATGAGTAATATGATTTCATTCATCAACCTGAAATCAGTCTGCAAATCTTCGTCACTCAGCATCAACAACAATATTCGGATTTTCAATACAAACGTCAAGTCAATTCTTCTACACGGAACGGATCAGAAACTTGGCGGGCTGGTCACAAAGAATATTTCCAACAGCCTGTTCCAGACACTACCTTTATCAACCAACAACTGTCTTCGCTGGATCTATACTGAAGATCAGATGGCCGGGCCGGAAAGAATCACCAACAAGAAACTATGGCTGGGAACAAACAAAACAAGAACCAATCAATCGCCAACCAACAAATATGCAGGAGAAAGTGGAGATGGATTGGACACTCACTCGTTGAGGAGGCCGCTGGGTGACATCGCGCGCGCGTCAGGCCATTGCTCGAGTGGAAACAGGCCGAAGGGGAGCGGCGAGTGGGACGTCAGTGCAAGGGTGACATGGAAGAGATCGTGTGATGTGAAGAGGAGTTGAAACAGTATGGACTAACATGGATGGAGGTGAAAAGTACAACAGAAGACAGCAGCAAATGGAGACGTGCAGTTGAAGCCCTATGTTCCACTAGGAACCCAAAGGAACAATAATAATAATAAATGAGTAATAAAATTGTGGTCAAAATGTCATCCAGTTATTAATACTGTATCACTGTGCACTATATCAAATAAACGTATCTAATATGAAATTACCTTCTACCACAGTTCCCGAGTCCTAAACTTACATTGATGCCTTATATTAATCGATATTTTAGCAACTGCTAATTTAATTATAGTGAAAAATGTGACACTTAAACATATAAGTAAAAATAACGAAATTCACAAAGCCAAGAATCCTAACTACACAGAAAAAATATCAACAACATACTTGCAGGAACTGATGGATCATCTGTGTATGATAATGATGCAGGTGGTTGACTAGCGTTTGGATCAGCAACATATTGTCCGATTACAAGATCCTTCATTGTCAAAGGTTCAATGCTTCGTAGAACACGAACCTGAAGTTAATGGTAGAAATAAAAATTGAAGTAGAAATTTTTCGGAGTTAAGTTGAAGTAAGAAACACCATAAAAACCAACTTCTTACCTGCATATATCAATGCTTAAAGTGCTACGAAGTAAGAGCTCACCTCCTTGATATAGTGTAATTTTGCTTGTCACCGGATTCTATGACTTGAGTTGAACTCAGTGTATTGTTACCCAGTTTATTAATTACTCACAAGCTTACGTACCTCTTGTTTTTATTACTTAACTCCCTTACTATTGTATGCATACATTTACTTTGCTTAAACGTGAACTTCCTGTGTAAAAATTTTAAATAAGCGTAATGTTGTGAGCACTGTTCACTAAGTTCGGAACTTCCTGTCAACTGACATCATGTAAAATTTGCAAGTCTGTTAAAAATGTTTCTGTACGTAAACTTAATAATTTATTTAGGTTGTAAGCAGGTGATGAGGAACCGAAGAAATGAATGATGGTAATATATTATTTAAATTCAAATAGGGGAATAAATGTATGAGGGACCATGATATCTGTAGTACCAACAGCTTGAACATTTATTTCTCTCATTCATTCGTAAACTATTTAATATGGATTATTAACCTCAGAAATTCAAAGAAATCAGTCTGTCTGTCTGTATTCAACATAGAACTTGGCACCGAAGTGCAGTAGTTCGAGTTGCCACGTTCCAAATAGCACACCGAGGTAGACAAGAAGATGAGTGAAGAGAATCAATACAGTCTGACAAGTATAAGAGTGAAACAGAATGGGTAATGGTAGAGGGGAATATGAAAGATTACAGAGACTGAATGCATCTGCACCATTGACAACGATTTTGAGCCATGTCACCTATTGTCTCCAGCCATTGATTCTTAGAGTCCCGAGGGCCCCAACCCGGAAGTCTGCATCTCCTCCCTACCTGACTCAGTTTAACTGTCAAGGATTTCATGGATTGATGAGGCCATGTTTTTGTTTGGCCACCACCTACCCTTTTCCAACCTGCACTATATCAGCTAGTAATGCCCGTCGGGGAAGGCGATGGTTAGGCATGCACAGCACGTGACCTAGCCATCTCAATTTATGTAACTTTATAGCCTCGTCGATTGATTTTCCCTCTTTGCCCAACACTCTACGCCTAACGTCAACATTACTTACCTTGTGAAACCACCTAACGTGAGAAAGAGATCGCAGACATCTATGATCAAAAGCAGTCAACCTTTTCATGTCTTCAACTCGTATTGGCCATGTTTCAGAGCGATAGAGAAGGACGAAGCGAACTGCTGAGCAGTACACATGTCAGTATTTCTGCGTTTGTGTTACGTACCTGGATCTTCATTAACTCATCAACAACTAGGGAAAATAGTAATAATAATTTGCTTTATTTAAAAAAAAACTACTTATGATACAGTGTGGAATTCTCAGTATTCGGTACAATATCGCATGTAATTTACTCAACAACAGCAAAAACAAATATTACGGGATATAGGTAACCGATTTTTATAACAGCAGCTTTTTTGGAATTTGCAGTGAATATATAAAGTCAAAAATGTACAAAAAGTGTAAAATGACGATAACAACGTCAATGGCTAAAACTATAACATAACTAAAATAGTGTCACCATAAAATTACAAATGAGAAGAGGGCGAAGAGGTAATTATTTTGCTAATTACATAGTAAGTAAGTTGTAGGTTTCACGCTTAACACATTCTCCATCACATTGAAGGTGGGTCAAATAAGGTACTGTTAAGTTTTATACTTAGTTGTGTGACCATATAATCTATTATTATGATTGGTAGTCCTACCTAATGAGATGCAAGGGGAGAGTTGTGATTAGAGAGGGTGTTGAGAGTCAGACAATATGCATTTAGGCCACTTCTCGCATGAGTTCAGGTGTCTGTCGACTGCAGTAGCAATGAGCTGACTTAGTAGCACACCACTTTCCCTACTGACAACCTTTATTACTTTTTGCAATATGACATATTCATTCTTGAGTAGGCTAGGAAAGACTATGGAGGAGCCATAAGGAACCATAGGCAAGATGCAAGAGTTAACAGATTGTAAAATGTAGAGGTTGAGTGATTCCTGGTTGTCTTAACTTCTTAATGTAGAAGGTTAGACGGAACATTTTCCTGGAAATCGACAAGATATAGGATGACCAAGAAAAGTTAAGGGGAGGACTATTCCAAGTTATTTTGTGCTTGACTTACTTTCTGTTTTACTGGCCTCTATGCTCCGAGCACCTTGTGAACAGGCCAGTTCGTGTAGATCACGTTTACGCTTAAATATGAAGTTAACCGTTTGCATTTCGAGGGATTTAAGGTAATACCAATTAGCTTAGACCACTACCTGGAATAAGACAAACGTTATTAAATTTGGAATAGTCAGATCGAGACGTAACTAGCAGCAAGACGGTCAGATCATCAGGTTATTTAACAAAGTTGGTTTCTTCTGAAGAAGGAAAGTTAAGTAAGCAGAAATAAAAAGGAAGAGAAAAGAGAACAGCACACAGAGGAACTCTAACTACGGTGAGCAGGGCAGTGGGAGATTTGCCTTTATATAAAATATACTGTATTCTGTTAGAGAAATAAGAATGCAACCAGTTAACAGATCAGGAATGGTTTGTGTCAGGGAAGGCTTATTTAACAAAAGGCGTTTGGGTACACAGTCAAAATCGGCTGTGCAGTCAAAGAAGGCACCTCGGACATATTTGGCCGCTTTGTCTAAGCAGGAAACAATATAATGATGTCAATTTGTGGTACACATTCATTACTGACATTCTTGAATTCAAAAGCTATCTAGTAAAGCATTTTGTGACAAAATCTACATTGAATAAAAATGATGGTAATAACAAACCTTTACACAAATATAACGGTCGTATGGCCTTCTAAGCATTGTAAAATCAACTCAGTTATGATGAATTCCCTAGATACCAGTACCAGTAGGTGAGATTTTAATATGAGTACTGTTATTCCCGCGTCCGTGGTTCAGTGGAAGAAAAAGGGCATAATATTTAGAACATATCCAGTAGCTGAACTGCTTCTCCTTCATAAAGCAAACTGCCTAACTACACAGTTCAAATAAGACCAGATTTTGATGTTCATTAACTTCACCTGTCCTTATGAATTCAAGTGTACATGCGGTAGAAAGAGTATAAGAAGAACTGAGAGAATGTTGTCTACTACGATTGTTGAAGACGTGCTGAAAAGTGTACGTCTTAGAGATTCAGCTTTTTGTATCTACTCTATAGTTCGCGACCTGGATGATAGAGGACATCAGACTAACATTTCAGAATTGTTAAAGTTGGTGAACAGACAAAGTATTTTACAACTACTTCGAATTTCTGAAACTGTCAACATCAGAATAATGAAGCCTAAATTATATATTCATGAAGAAAGTATTGTTAATTTTTTTATTGTGAAGTCAGTGCTACTATACGGATCAGAGACTTGGCCAGCGCGTCATAAAGAGCATCTCAAACAAACTGCAGACCTTCATTAACAGTTGTCTTCGCTCAATACTCCACTTAAGATCAGACGGCCGATCAGAAAAGATCAGCAACAGGGATCTCTGGCAATGAGCGAACCAACCCAGCAGGAATCGATTGTGAAACAAATAGGCAGGAAGAAATGGAGATGGATTGGTAGGCCATACTCTGAGGAAACCATCAAGTGACACCACTAGACAAGCCATCACTCGAGTGGAACCCGAAAGGGAAGCGGTGAGTTGGTCGTCAGTGCGAGGGTGACTTGGAGGAGGTCATGTGAAGAGGAGATGAAAGCATGTAGGCAGACTTGGAGCGGGGTGAAAAAGTTGGCAGAAAATAGAAGGCAATGGAGATGGGCAGCTGAAGCCCTATGTTCCTCTGGAATTAAAGGATAAAATAATAATAATATATTAGAGTAAAGCCAGAGATGAGGACCTATCTGAGAATGACAATTAGCAGAAATATAAGGGAGAAAAAGTATTAACATAGAAAAAACAATAGAGTTTAGTGGAGACAGGAGATCACAAACAGTGAATGCATCTGCGTCATCATCGAGAACGACTTCCAGCCATATCACCAATTTTCTCCAGTCATTAGTCCATGGGATTCCCGGGACCTTAACCAGGTAGTCTACGCCTCCTTATGTGGCTTAAACTAACTTTTATGGATTTCATTGACTGATTCCAAGTTTTACGTTAGTCCACCACGGGGCCTTTTTCGATTTGATCCTATACCAGCTAACATGGCCGTCAGTCGAGGAAGGCAATGGCCACGCTAGCATGCGTAACACATGTTCTAACTACCTCAATCGATGCAAGTCCACAGCCTCGTCGATTGATTTCTCCTCCTTACCTAATACTCGACCGATGCCTAACCTCAATACTGCTCATCTTAACACAGGATATAGAAAGCAGACAACTAGCCTTTCCATGTCTTCCACTTTCAATGGCCATGTCCAGCTAATATTCATAAGGGAGGACGGAGAGGACTGCTGAGCAGGACATACGCTATTTGGTCGATACCCTAACCTAGAGATGGCGTCGAATGGCGTCGTCGAATATGACAAACTAAATTACATAGAGCTAGTTTTCAGCTATTAAACGTGAAATAAACCAGATTGTCATTTTACAAAAACAGCTTAACCAGTATCACCACACTTTCATCAGATGGACATTAACCAGGTGATTGTGGAGTATTAACTTCCATTAAAATTTCTTTAATTCCTAATAAGGAGTGATTAGTAGACTTAACAAAGTCGCTAAATGAAACAAACTGTAATTATTTCCAAAAAGTTGGAAAAATAAGTAATTAAATTTAAATCCCTTCATTGAGCGATAATGTGATGTGACGATCATCGATCCGAATTATGAAGAAGTTTTATTTACTATGGTTGCCTAGCTGATGAAGGTCTGTAAACGAAACTACCAGTTACTCTCGGCATTTTCCACGTTAAATAGCAGAATTATCTGTGTATTGCAGAATATAAATTAGGGAGTATTTTAAACAATTCTACATGCTCGCCTTCATCCTTTCTTCCTATACTTTGCTTCATTTTGTTCCATATTATCTTTGAAAAGTTTCCTGAATTGAACAGAACGGAGTACTGTGTTATATATTGACTAATGCAGTCATTCTAAAAAGCTTTGTAAACCATTCAGTTGCGTCGTCACCAATCGTCGTCAAGTAAACTATTATTGACTAAATAAGAACAAACAACATATTGTATTGACGCCAAAAGATGGACTACACAAAGTTAATTCAGCAATAATATAAGAGGAATAAAAAATTCAGAAAGAGAACAGAACAACTCAGCATGCAAAA